TTTTTTTTCGGGCACAGGCTACACACGCATGCAGTGATCGAGCCGTTCATTATTGCTACAAACCGACAGCTGAGCGTACTTCACCCGATTCATAAGCTTTTGCAGCCTCATTTTAAGGATACGATGCATATCAACGCACTCGGCCGGCAAACCCTCATAAATGCCGGAGGGTTTCTTGAGATAACTGTTTTCCCGGGAAAATATTCCATGGAGATGTCGAGTAGCATTTACAAGAACTGGGTTTTTCCCGAGCAGGCTCTCCCTGCAGATCTTATTAAGAGGTACACACATACACACATCCCGTCTTTCGTTATGAACAAATTCATCTTTCGAAAAAATTAGGACAGTGCATTTTTATTTTTATTTTTGTATCCAAGAATGTACATTTGGGATTTCTAAAGACTTTTTAAGACTTTAGAAATCCTGATGTATTTAATTTAGACTTTTTAAGACTCTTAATAGTCTCGGGGTATTCATTTGGGATTTTAAGAAGCCTTACAAAGTCTTGAGGTATCTAACTTATTTGAAACTAGGATTTGTTAAGACTTTTTAAGATTTGTTGGGATTTCTAAAGTAAAAAACCTTATATGAAATCCCACTCAAAATCCCACCTTCAAATCAAGATTTCACATGATTCCTCTAAAATTTGAAAATCTTAAAAAACCTCAAATCTCAAAAAGTTCAAAAATGTCACTCGAAATCCCAAACAAGTACACCCCCCGTAATATACCCAATAATGACAGAAAATAAAAAATAAAAACAATTTTCCATTTTAGAGGAGTCGCGGTCGAGGACCCCAGCTCGCCCCAGGGCATTCGCCTGCTAATCGAGGACTACCCGTTCGCAGTGGACGGGCTCGAAATCTGGTCCGCCATCAAATCATGGGTCGATGACTACTGCAGCCTCTACTACACAACCAACGAGACAATCAAAACAGACATCGAGCTCCAATCATGGTGGACCGAAATACGAATAAAAGGACACGCGGACAAGAAAAACGAGCCATGGTGGCCCGCAATGCAGACCCGCGAAGACCTAGTCAACTCCTGCACCATCATCATATGGATAGCATCAGCTCTCCACGCAGCAGTCAACTTCGGTCAATACCCTTACGGTGGCTACCTCCCGAACCGCCCGTCCACTAGCCGCCGGCTCATACCGAAAACCGGGACTCCCGAGCATGAAGAGCTCGTGGCAAAACCCGAGTTGGCATACTTGAAGACGATTACATCCCAGCTGCAGAGCGTGCTCGGGATTTCGCTTGTTGAGATATTGTCGAGGCACTCGGCTGACGAGGTTTTCCTCGGGCAGCGTGATACGCCAGAGTGGACGGTGGATAAACGGGCGATTGAGGCTTTCGAGAGGTTCGGGAGGAGGCTTGGGGAGATAGAGAGTAGGATTGTGGAGATGAATGGGGAAGGGAAGTGGAGGAATAGATATGGGCCGGTTAAGATGCCTTACACTTTGTTGTATCCGAGCAGTGAGGTCGGGCTTACGGGTCGAGGGATTCCGAACAGCATATCCATATAGATGATGCTTACTTTTCTTTATTTTTTATTTATTTTTAATTGAATTGTTGTGTGTGGATTTGCTAATAAAATTTGATGTAATGTATATGTCCTACTATGGCTATGGAGAAGTCTTGGTCACCTTTGTGTGAGATTCATAAGTTTGTTGTTGAGACTTGAAACCTCATTGGATAAAGTTTTATGATTGTTTTTGGGGGCATAAAGTTCATATCTTTTTATTCAGAGGGAAAGTGTTCTGTGGGATTACTGATTAGGCTGGTTCAGGTTGTATCAACCTGTTGAATAATGTAGGTGACGTACTATGTGTATATATATGCTTCTAGTTCAAGATGTTCATAAGGACTTTGTCCAGTTTTTGAAGATTTGATCAGCCAAACTTTTATTACAAGGATTGATGCAGATTAAATTGTAACCATGTTGCAGAAAAAAATAAAAAAATACCTAGTTGAAGTGTGCAAAGAGTAAAACACAATGACATTTGATTACTGTAGGAAGAATGAATTTTTTATTTTTTATTTTTTCTCTCTCAAAATATAACAACTGATCTTCGGTTCAAATGTGATTGACATATGAAACTTCTTGTGCTAGAGAAAATATTGTATTTTACAAATTATCGAACACATCTAAATTAAAATATTTGTTCCTTTCTTTTAGATAATTAATATAATAGAGTAGTATATTAAAATGTGGTTATCACATTATTCTTTTATATAAAAGAAATTATATTGCAAACATATTGATTTTTCTCTTAGATGATGATATAGCACCTAGTAATGATTCGGTGGACCGGCAAAGAGCTGCTCGGTTTTGTAAGGTCGGAGTTAGGATATTAGCTCGAGCGAACTAGCAGCTCGGTTCAGGTAGCAGTAGGAGCTCAGTTAAGTAAACGACTGTGTATTTTGATCATATAGCTCGGTCTAATGGACCTTGTAGTAGTTGGGCCTTGTGGACATGGTTGTAGGTTGTTACATTAGGAGCTCGGTCTTATATGGACTTGGCCTAGTAGCAACAGTAGCTCGTCAACATACTTTGGACTTAAAAAGCTTGTCGAGAGTCGAGCAGATGCGACATTTATCAAATCAAGTCCACAGGGGACATGTGTAAGGTCAGGATCAAAGAGGGAGTAATTGATCTAACGGACAAGGGATAATGCGTACAGAGGAAGCTAGTGAATTCCATATAAATAGGTAAATCTGATAAGATGGTAAGATTAATCAATCTATAAATCCTAAAAACTCTAGATAATGTAACTAGTTTTCCTCTATCATTGACTGACTTGAGCATCGGAGGTTTACCGCCGGAAACCCCTCCCGGCGTCTTTGTAGGTCTCTGAGCAGTCAAGGAGCAGAGGGAAGCCGGTTCAAGTGCAAAAGCACATCAGATATGACTTATTAATTACCATTTTAATGTCACATAATTAAATTTTAAAATACGTGTTTATATTTTTTTTTTATATTTTTTGTAACATTGTTTTTCCATACATATGGTGGATAAATATATAAAAATATTATCACATATCACTCTATGATAAATACGTATTATTAATATATATTTATAAGTTATTTTGCAAACTTTTTGTTTAATATGTTTTACATAAACTTAAATTTTAATCTATATAGAAAAAATAATTCCTCCCAATCTCTTTTCCAAATC